GTTATAGATTATTAAAATTACTTTCAATTTTACTGCTTTATAAAATTTTTTCACCATAGTCAAGGATTTCGATCATAATACTACATCAGCAAAGGAAAATTTTTATAGAATTAACCACTTAAAGAACTATTTGAGGAATATATTTTGCATTGTTAAATTCTCCTTCGGTACCAATAATTCAAGTCTCACATTTAGTAAAATGAACTTTGTCCGATCTATAAATAAACACAATAAATCAAAATTTCTTACTATATCATCATTCTCTTATACATTTTATTCAAAATTATTATTTTCTAATTTATTAATAAATACATTTAAAGTGATAATACTATTGATTAAAGACCGAAAAAATTTAAAAAATATGTTATATAAAAAAAAAAAATAGCAAATAATATATTAAACAATATAAGATATAAGTATGATGGGTTGATCGCCTACTTACTAACTAAATTTAAAATAGAATCAGAAGGTTGCCTGTTAAACGAATAAAACATATCTATAATAGTTACCTTATTCAATGACGATATACACTTGAAATCTATTACACCCTTAAACTTATTACCACAGCTATTTTCCTGGTTTTTATCTTTAAATTTTTTTACTATTATAATAAATAAATTTGTTATAATACAAAATATGGGTACTTACCATATAAAACACACTTAAAATTAAAATATTATTTATAAAATAATAAATAGTAACAATTGTAAATTAAAATAAGTACCTACGCAAAATAATATTTAATAAAATAACTTAACTAATTTCACTCACTCAGAATAACATAACTTCTACGATCAACGTTGATAAAATAAGTTATGGAATTATATAAAAAAAAAAAATTAATCAATAATGCTCATTTAATGTTTATAAATAAATAATAAAAAAAAGGCATTATAATAATTTAAAAATAAAAATTTTGTTCATCTTGCAAACTTCTAAATATTAAATAGATATTACATAGACATATATCTTATAATAATCTAAACAAAATTCATAACTAATAGCTTATTAATATTTTAACAAAAATAAAATTTAAATACATATGTTATATGTATATACTATATACCTTGTGTGTGGAGGTGAGAGGATTGTTTATGTGTATATTAAATAACTGGGTAAAACTAGTGATTATAATATCATTTAAATTGTGGAAACTAAGAAATTAGTTTAAACGATTATCACTGAAACTTAAAATTTTATTCATTAAATATTTGTGTAAAAACATCTTAGAGACACCAACAATACTAAAAACTTACAAGTGTATTAATAAGTGCTTACTGCTTTAATAGTTTATTGGTTTATTTAAATTTTTAATTCAGGATTAATATATAAATATATATATATATAATAAAGCAAATAATATGTCTTATTATTTTACAAATATACAATTATACATTATCTTTATATATCTTCTGTAAACTATGCTTGAGGTGAAAATAGAAAGTATTTGTCATATAATTATACTAAGAAAACATAAATCAATATTAGTAAGTCAGAAAAATATTTTAACAACTAAGACGTGTACAATTGTCATAAATCCATAATTGTATTAAAACTCATAACAATAAAATTACGAAAATCTATTACGGTATCCAACGTATTTAATGCACAATTTAGCATTTATCACAATCGTATTGTTTTTATTTGATCAGTGTAAACTCTTGGACAAACAAACATTAGTTTCTGCATTTATTAATGTCTCAAAATTGTATTTTTGATACAAAATTTAATTTTATATATTTCTGGAATATCAAACATACATTAGACAAGTTTTGGGGAGGAGTAACTTACAAAATTTTAATTAATACTTATATAATGCAGACGCTATTTTGGCATAATAATAACTTGAAAATTACAAACAAACGGGTTTCGAAAAAATAAAAAATGACTTCATTGAGAACACTTAAAATAACCCCAAATAATAAAGTATAACATAGTGATAGTACTTGAGCACAAAGTATTAGTAGCATTATCTTTACATAGCCAAACACTTGATTAGTACATTATAAATAGGTACAATAATTGAATAAAAAATGTTCGTACGTTTAAACTTAACAAATGAAAGTGAGACACTCGAATTAAAAATTACGAGTAAAATAATATTCAGTACTTATCTGATGAGGCCACTGAAGCCGCACTACAGAAATAACATTAATGTTATGTTAGACACAAGATAAATCATTAGATAATCTGAAATCAATCATTTTGAATTCTATTTAAATTGTATGCTATAGTTATTGTAGAAAACCCGTATACGACTGTATGTATAAATAATCAAGTTTTTAAATAACAACTGTTTTTGATTGATAATTATATATTGATAAAATATGTGGTTATAATGGTTTAAAATTGTAATGTCTAGTTACTAATTAATATTAATCGGGCTACATTTTATAATTTGTTAAGTCTGTCCAAGTGTAGTAGTACAAGATTTAATATTAAAATTCTATATTTTTTACTCTTCTTGAATCATTTTAAGGAAAATTACCTTAAGTAAAAAAATTTTAATAATTCAGAAACTAGTCATTCCAATTTTTATTTAAATACGTAAATATTATGTTCAAAAAATTAATTTGTTTAATGACTAACAAAAAAAAATTGCAATTCTCATTAAAAATAAAAAGAATATAATACTTATGCCTATAGATATAATAAAAATTTCAAAAATCAAATTTTGAATAAATTCAATATTAAAAGGGAAAAGAGGGTAAGTATGTTTAGCAAATTACCCGATAAATACTTTATTTATTTGATTAATCGAACATAAATCACATAATAATCCAATAACGATTACATGTATTAAGTTACAATAATTTTTATCGTAAAAAAAATTTTATTTAAATCGACTAAAGAAATAATTATTTGCTTCTTAGTTCTTGGTGAATAAAAATGTTCAAATAGAATAGCATAACATAAAAAAAATCTAAAATAATTCACGCAAGTATTTATTATAATAAATTTAAATGTTTAAAATCACTTTTCATTCGTACACAGATAGCCCTGCACTATAAAATACACACGACGAGATAATATAATTATTATATTATAATAATCAATTTAAATTTGTTTATTTTAATTCATTAACGTACCAATATTGTCTATACGTCACGCCGCACAACACTAATAATTAGTATAGTATTATGACTATTATGTGTGTATACGACAACTTCTCTTGTAATTCGTTCTTAACACAGCCGCAACATAGTTAAAATAAACTTAATATTTGATACATTTGTACATTAACATAAAAGGATTTTTGCCCTTCTTATAAATATAATGTAATATATATTTAAATGTTGATATGTCATGTTTTATATGATAAATTATAAATACATAATAAAATTTACAACTCAATTTATAAATTACTTATATTAACATTAAAAAAAAAAATAAAAATAATAAATTAATTTTAATTTTAAAAATATCAACTGCCTTCATTATTTACCTTCGTTAACGCATTTGTCAATGTAATTTTGTTAATTGGTTTTCATTTTATTATGATTGGCATACTTGCCTTTTTTACATGAAACGTTCATGAAAAAATAAAATAGTTCACGCAATGAAAATGTAACTGAAGGAAAATTGTATGACAGTTAATTGATTTAATAATTTGATTTTTAGGATATAGTTTATTTGAAATAATTTTTAAAATTACCACAAGATTAAGATTCCTGTATCACAAAAGTTGTTAAAAAAATCTATTGAAGCACGTCTTCCATTTACCACGGTAACGGTTATACTATAAAAATCTAAAATTCAAGATTTCTATAAAATAATTTTAAGATTGCCTATTTTTAGTATCGAATTGTAAATATGGACTAAATTTTGATAAATTTATTTTTAATCAAGAAACTTTTAAATTTATTTATTTATGATTATGATTAAGGCCTTACACCTATTAATATTACAACTTGGTTGCACAATCACGAAACATGTTTTAAGTTATTAATAGTAATCGAATGAATAAATTATTAAACATGATTGGTCTATTATATTTTAGTTAACTATTAAATTAATCAACTTCTAATGCATCCCAGTATATTATGTATAATATTTTAGTTTAAAGTCTTAATATATAATAAAAAATTAAAAACTTTAAATAATCAATTATTGGTTAATAACTGTAAATTTCAAAAATAACAAAAATAATCCGACTTTCTAAGCAATAATCAATCTATTTAATGATATTAATATAATTTCTTTATGTTACTGGTTATTTTTTGATAATATTGCGATTACAATGCATTATTAACGTATCTAGTACTTATTAAATATTATGTTTTACTAAGTATTTATCATAATATGAATATTACTTTAGGCCGTTCAAATTTATATCAATTACCATGTTGTTATTATAATAGCGAGAACACAATACGTATATTAAATTATACACTAATTAATAATAATAAATAAAAACTAAAGTTTTTTTAATTTAAATAATAACATGGATAGTGGATATATAAATGTATAGTTTACTTTTTAAATAATCAAAATAAATCTATTTTATAATTTAAAAATTCACTCATGTTATTGTATATAATATATAATATTTATTGTGTTATCTATAATAAAATCATACGTTTACCAAAATTGCATATAATAACGATGTGGTTTAGAAACTTGGTACCTACCTAATTAAACCAATAAACAATAATAAATTGCTTTTCGTTATTGTTTTTCTTTACATGTGAATGTTTACATAAATAGTTGTATAAACTATAATACAATAATACCGAATTTTTTGCAAATTTTAACTCTACTTCAAATATTGAATAACCATCAAAAAGTTTTACATAATTTTTATTTTTATTTCAATCATACAATTAATATTTAATTAAACAAGGCAAGAAATACAGGGCACTATAAATGACTGAATATTACATACAAACATTATAATTTAAATTACATAATATAACTTAATAGGTATAGTTATAATAGTCTGTTTGAACATATTTAAATATTGTAAACAAATAAAGAGTTTTAAATACAAACAAATCGTTTTTTAATTATTTTTATTTTTATTTTTCATCATGCCAACTTATACTTACACTTGGTATGATACATATATAGTTTCTATAGACATTATACATATTAAATACAATAAAATAACAAAAAAAGAAAAAAACAAGTCGAAAAATGGACAATAGATTTATATACTAATACCATTATATACTTAATAACAAAGACCTGAAGCGTTTAACAAGATCGCTGGTCAATACTTAGATTTTTGTCATTGTATACCATGGTATTGATTATTTTTTTTATCCTCCTCGCCTCCTTGCCTCGCTGTATATTTGCACTCGCGCAAATTATTATAAATTTAGTGTACAACGATCGTATTCTAACGACAATAGTTATAATATAAATTCATAAGACGTAATAACTACACATCTACACAACTTAATACAATATGTAAAACTATAGTAAAATTTAATGACATTAAACAGATTTTGACTAGCGGTCGCGCTGGCACGACGGACCAGACTAATATTATAACAATTATATTATTGTCATCGTATCCTGTGGTATTGAAAGACCACGACAGACGACCGCATGTGCTGAGTATAATAAATAATATAAACATAATAATAACAATAATAAATATAAATAAAATAATAATGTATACTGTATAATGTATATAATATACGACTGAATCCTAATACTTTTGCGATAATACATGAGAAATTGTCCGATCGCGAATGAACAACTGAGAATCGAATTAATTTTCTTTGTTTTTGAGCCGTCGTTGAAGTTGCATGGAACAAAATACTCGAAAATAATAATAATAATAAAAATAAAAATAAAAATGTACTTAGAACGTGAGAAAGGAAAATAACACACAAAAGTGATAGTATATTTATATTATTATTATCTGACTGTATCTCGATAATCAAACGAGTCAGTCAAAAACCAAGAAAGGCATTGAAAATAAAAATAAACGACATCGCGATAAATGATATTATATAAATGATTTTCGTGTTCAGTCGGTATATATTTATAGTATACACTATGTGTTCTATTTATATTATTATTATTGTGAGCGTTTTCGTTTCAGTTTTTTGGGATTAAGGGTATATAGCGTCACCTATTCGTACATGACGATAGCGGTAAGTTTAAGGGTAATTTTTCAGTGGCTTATGGGAGAGAAGGAAATCGAAAGAAGATTTGTAAGGCCTGTGATTTTACGCGCTTACTGATTTGGACACGAATGCCTTGTTGCCAAATGATGCCGAATTATCGGACAAAAATGCGCTGCCAGCTGCATTGTTAACCGGTGGTCGCGAATACATTTCTTCGGAGGAGCTGTCGCAGTCTGTCACGGCGGGTAAGAAACACGGTGTCGACGTCAGGTTGGACCAGATTGATTTGGCTTGGTTTTGGAAACTTGTATTCTTGGGCTGTGGTGAGTCCAGGACTCTGTTGTTCGCTCGGTCGTCGTCGTCCTTCTTCTTTTGAGCTATCCTCTTTTTGTCCTCCTGAGAAAAACGCTCGAAATCAATTTTGAATTCCATAATGATATTATAATATTTTTTACTATTTTAATGTTCAAAAATGTTTAGGTTTATGGGTAAATAACGCACACAACTTCTAATTAAACAACAATATTGACTTATATAATATACCATTAGCTAATTAATTTTTAGAATTTTTTATCGGCTTACTCTTCTTAAAAATAAAATTATAGTTTGCAGAAAATATTTAGAATACTTACTAAGTCTATTTGAGCCACATAATAACGTCAAACAGCAGTATAAATATTTAGGAACCGTAGACAGGGATTTAGTAAGATAGCTCATAATGATAAGTCCCTCAAAATAATTCCCTAGTTCCTTTTTCTAGGATTCATTATTCAACTTAAAGTAACATATAACATCAAAATAGTAACTTATAGTAAGATTTGACGGAAGACATTAAAAACAAATTCTTCGGTCCCCAACTTCTTTTTTTTTATATTTTTTTCTTCAGGTAAATTTCAAAAATTATTAAAAGTATTTTAATATGCTATTATTGCAATGTATTAGAAAGAAAATAACTTATTTTATTTATTATAATAAAGGATAAGGAAGAAGAATGTATTAAATCGAGAGGCCCACATTATTTTGTTGGCCAAGTTACCAAAATTTCAAATTCAGCGTTAGGTATATTGAATTTTTTTTTAAAAATATTATTGGAAGAACTTTTAGGTTTGCTCCGATACAAAGAATATCGCATCACGTAATTATATCCCGAATTTGTTTAATCTCAGTTGGGTACCTGAGTATCATTATTGATTTACTGAAGCTAAAGGACACAGTTTTTTGTCATTCGCATTCTTTTCGACTTACCCCCTTTTTGTATGAATGTTGGTAGAAGTTGTAGAACAGGAAGTAGAACATAACAGCGTGTAGTAAGATGATCCAAGCAAATGCCTTCGGGTAATCGCACTCAATGAATAGTAATTGGGATGCGTGAATGAACACCATAATGAATTGGATCTGAAACGTGGACAATATATCGTTGAATATTATCACTGTGAGATTTTCTAATACTGCGGGCTGTTACCCAGAAGAATATTTATTGACACAATAATAATAATATTTTCATACCATTTGGAGCACAGTCAAGTATTTCTTCCACCAGAGGTACTTCTGCATTTGCGGTCCAATGGCGGCCAACATGTAGTATGTGTACATAATGATATGCACGAATGTGTTGAGCAGCCCAAAGAACGTGCTGTGACCGCCTGTAAATGATAAGAATTTTAAAATAACTCCAGTAATTAAATTTAATTACAAGGTGCGTCCATTCAACAGGCAAACTCACCGGGTGTGAACTTAACGCCAAACCACACACTCATCGGCATGATTCCGTGGTGAATAACGTGCAGGGTGGATACCTGATCGTATTTCTTGCGCATAACGAAAAAGAACTAAATAAAACAAATATAAATACAACTATTAATATTCGACACGATTGGTTTAACTACTTAGATATTGCGAGTGTATTCACTTACGGTATCGAAGAATTCCGTGAATTTAGAAAAGTAGTACCACCAACATCCACGAGCTACCTATAAATAAAAATCAAAATGGTTAAGACGGCATTTTGAATAGGCAATTTTATAACATTACTACACAAAATTTTACGTTATGACCAAAATTATATAATTTAAATATATAATCTTAGAGTGTTCGATAAGTAACCCCGGGATTCGAATCATCCGTAATTTTTACTTCAATCTGGGAAAATTTTATTTTTATATTATTAATCATTTTATTTCGATCACATAGTCAGTCACATTTTGTTCACTTAATGTTTGAAGTTTTGTTTATACACTGTTATATATAGAATTCATCATGAACTCCATCAATTTTAAATATTAAAAACGAAATTAAATTATTTTTTTTTAATGTAGGGCTACACGTAAACGAAAATAAAATGGACTATATGGATTTTAGTAAACAAGAGCTACAGTTTTATCAGTCCATTAAAATATATTATTATGAATTAAAAAAAAAAAAACATTTAAAATACCTTGTTATTATTTTGACTAAAAAAATAAAATTTGAAACGTGATTATAGGAATTTAAATTCAATCTAGGAATAAATATTATTATGGACTTACAAAATTACTTAATTAATGAGCATAATCACGAAGAATGAAATGTAGGCTAGCCATGCTTGGAAGACCCAAAATGCACTGCTATTTGCAGTGATAGAATAGAGTCTTGTTAAGAAAAGACCTTTGGGAAGACTAAGAACGCGCTGGGGAGATGTCATAAAAGAGGATGTGAAACAGATGAGAAGTAGTTCCAATTGGAAAATTCTAGCATTGGACAGAGAAGGATGGAAGTTTGTTTGTGAGACGGGGTAGTCTTAAAAGTTTAATAAGTCCAAAAAGAAAAAGAAATCGAATTTTTAATAAATATACTTTTAACTAAATCTCGAAAAAAAAAATCGTAGCATATGAAGTCACATGATGAGAAATGGCCTATTCAACATCAATATAACATTAATGAAGTAATCCATAACTAAATAACAACGAGTAAATAAAAAATATAAACATTAAACAAAAAAAATCTGACTGATTATCTTGTCGAGATGATAAGTGATAAAAAAAGATGAAAACAATACTGCTAACATTGAAATAAAAAAATTATAAACTATTTAAAATTAGATATAATATTAATATATTATGGACTATGCTACCACACCTCAAGTTTCGTAATGTCAACATTTTTAGAAAAGGTTATCAAAAACTTGAAAATGTAATAGCATCAAGTTTTATGTTATATTTTTCTAACGATATTGTCCTTAAACATCTCTTTACGCTTACTTAGTGTACATGGATATTTAAAACAGGCGTTTATAAAGGATATTCTTCATTAAATTATTATGTTATCGATAAACTCACTCTCATTGCATTCGGGGATGTCGAGTAATCGACAGGTTGGCATCGAAGACTGTAACCATTGCCCCATGCACTGTCCCATGCTTCGTAGAAGATCCACGTAGAGAATATGACTTGCAGAAAATTGTAAACGATTAATGTTTTTCGCAGTTGGAATGGTTTACGGTCTCTCATCAACCTTGGTCCCAAAATTTTTACGATGAATGCATATGATAAGCACATGACTATGGTAGGTACAGGACTACTCATAAGGAACCAATCCTTCACCCTTTTATCTAAAAATATAAAATTATATTATAAGTCTTCGGGATACCAAACAAATTATTAAATTCATTTTTTCTTGGTAAAAATTTTAAAAACGAAATAAATTATCATTATATAATCATCCATTTAAAACAACTACAATTATATTATGCTAATATTAAAATATTATAGTATAAATATAATTAAGTAGTAACTAAATGATCAACGGTTTTATTTATAAGAGAATAGTATTTAAAATCATTATAAATATAATAGTTCATATTAAAAAATACTTGCCACTGTAATCGTTCATTAGGGTGTTATACCCTTGGACTACTCTGCTCAGCATCTTGATGTCTGTATTGATGTTTTATCTGTTCAACCTAAATAAAACAAAAAGCAAAACAAAAATTTAGTTTACAGATTTAAATTAATTACCATTAGGTATAGTGTATTAATTATATATCCAATTTGCATGGTATAAGTAAAGATTCATAATAGGTAAAAGTACTCAATTAGCGTTGTTTTGTATTTTAATATAGCCATATTAGTTGTTTTCTGATAACATAAATAGTATTTTAATACCATACTTCTAGTGACTTATTTTAAACATAATATTTCTTATAATACTTTTCAGTAATAACAACAAAATACTGATTTTGGGAAATATTAATTTAATTTTAACATTTCATAATGCCTGAACTATAAATTAACCAGTGTGTAACATAAAGTTATTGACTATTGTACAATGCATACATAAGTATAATAGTAGTTATACGCGTTAACACTGTTTGAAAATTACTCAAGGTTAAAATAGACAATTGAATTTTTTTATAAAATTTACATTAGGCAACTAATGCGAAACATGATTCCGATGATAAGCTAATGGCGGCTGATAATAAAATAATATATTTCAATAAATAATATTAACACTGTGATTAATAAGAAAAAAAAATGTTTACTCATACTATATTGTGTTATAATATAGGTATCCGATTGCAAAACGAGTACAATCTAAACTATTTCAGTGAGCGTTTTTTTTTTTGGACAATACGATCTCGAAGGTATTTATCTCCATTGAAAAACAAAAAAAATAATAAAAAAAAATCACGATTAAACTATAGAATTTTATTTCCAAATCTCGAATTCGAACCGAAATTGACGAAAGTACACTTCAACGGGGCCAAACGAATACAAACGGTAAGTAGGCAGGTAGGTATTATAGAAGGAGATACCGTCACCGGACAATACACAACTAGCTAGGATGTGATATAATAATAAAAATAATAAATATATTATAATTAATACATGGCACACATGACTGTCTCGCCGTCAAAATAAAAATAAAAAGATTACACATTATTGTTATTATTATTATGTGCATACTCTCTCCCGCATGCCACGGATGCCTTACGCGTGTGGATTTCGACACGACTGTCGTCGTTACAAAATTTCGAATTCGCAGGCTTTTTCCCACTCGCTCAAGTACTCCACCGAACGCTCAAACATTATAATAACGTGTATTATTATTCCACGCGATTGATCGTCGACGCAATCGTACTATTTTAAATTATCATATTATTATTATAAAATAAATAAGTCATGACTTCGGTGTTGTATATTATGGTGTATAAATATAATATCCAGCACGAAAATATCGTTATCGTGATGACGTATTATATTATTATAATGATTTAGACGGTTCAAAAAATATTTTATTCGTTCGAGCAGGCCTTGGACGTAATAACGAACAGTATTATATTATTATTATTATTATTATCATTATTATTAGTATAATGTGATGAGGACCGTATGGTAAATAAGAAAAAAAACGTCACCGCATGACGCGTGTTTGTTGTATACGGTCGATGCTTACATAACCATCCAAAATAGATTCGCGTACGACAAGCAAGCAAGAACATGCAAGTATACATTTATACGCAATTTTGTATTTTATACTGTTTAATAATATTATGTATATGGTTGCGGGTAATGTGCTGCTGTACCTGTACCGGATTAGATGTACCTAATAAAAATTCGCGTGGCGCACTTTGCTGCGCCGGCATGAATATTCCGTCCGTAATAAAGTATAAATTGTTACGTCTTTAAACAAGAGGTACTTGCTGAATATTAAAATATTCTACTCGGTGAGACAAAATAAGTGTGCAATGTCTATTTTCAAAACATTTTGGAAAAAAAAAGAAGATTTTTCGAGATCCTTCTGTTTTTATTTCAAAACTCTTTAAAGCAATAATGGGAAACTAGCCGCTGGAGTAACTTTTTTTATCTAGGATACCTTTTCTAATAGGAAAAAAATGTTCTAATAATCAGCTTTAAAGGAGATTTATGTTAGAAAATTGCTTCTTATTTGTACTTCTATGGGTCAAAAAAAGAAATTTCTCAATAATATTTTAAAAATCGTGAAAATTCAAAAACAATAAAAACATTTATTAAAATTATAATATTTTTGATTATTAAAAAGTTAGACCATACCTTTATTCAGAATCATCTTTTGTACGCGATTTAAACTTTATACAGAGATCTAACACAAAAAATACTTGAACTGTGAAACTATTTATGAATAAAAGAAAATTATAAGCCTAAGCTAGATTATCTTGACATAGTTTTCAATAGAGGTATTAAATTCTATAATGATTCTGAATATGTATGTACGTATAATATTATGCGTTGCTCGACCACAGAATTACATTTTTAGAGGTGACCACGGATCTTACATTTTGTATTTTAGGCAGAATATTTTCCTGAAAATTTAAAAGAACAAAATAAAATATTAAATATTAACTTTAAAAATATATCAAGTATTGATATTAAAATAATATAATCTATGATGATAAAGATATTGTAAATTAAGAGCAGTTTTCTGAAGGCAGAAACGCGGTAAATATATATTAATATTACCTATAAATGCATATATTTTTTTTTTTTTTTTTTTTGTTTTTGATGTTACTAATGCATTATTTTTATATACTCATAGTTTGTGAGACAATTTATAATAAATATAAAATATTATTGCATAATGATGAGAGATTTTTTTTAATAATAAATGTTGTATCGTAAACGTTTTACATTCAATTTTATATTGCGGAAATAAGTATATTATAGCTACTTATAACGTAATACAATATATTGGTTGTTTTATGTCCACATAGTTCGTTTCCGAGATTGAAAGCACAGCTGCAACACGAACGTTTGATTTAAAATACAATATGTTATATAATCTCATATCATGTCCATATTACGTTAAAGAGGATTACAGATATAAGTAAGTAGATACACTGCGAAGAAATCCAGTTATTAAAATTAATTTCTTAAGACAAGGATCTGATAAATTCTGATTCCTCGCTTTACAGTTCTCAATAGATTTACATCAATGCTTAAGATTTATCGATTACAATTTTTGTTTTTTTAACAAATACACATTTTAACATAACAGTGTCCACTCAAATTTCATAAAATAATTTATTATAAACTGAAGTATCTATAATTATTGTATTTCATAATGCACACAGCTTTTGAATTTAACCTATAGATTTTTGTAATGGAACTCTATATATTTGAAGCTCTTTCAATATTGACAGATTGTATTTAAGCCCGTAAAACCCTAAAATATTTTGATGGTTGGTTAGGTTATACTAAAGGTATACCTGAATAGGAAAGATAAAAATTCAAATCATATAAATCGCGCTATAAGACATGTATCTCATATGTATATATAAACTCTACTCGAGAAGATTCGATCACTACATTAGCCAGATTACCCTATTTTTCTACTAAATATGCCGCTGTGCACCATTTAAATTATACATATATCATGATAAATTATTGTTGGCGCACGCCAATAATATCAGCAGATGTCTACATTACGTATATCGGATGCGCGTATGGGATCTCAACGAGAAAACTTACACGTGCCATTTTTTCCTTCTTACCCCTCACCCGCTCTACCTTGAGCGTATTATAAAAATCGTTTCATCGAATTGTCACTCGCGACGGACACAATAAGGAAAACGAATCAAAAACTGAATTGTCTGTTCGAGCGTCATGTTAAATACTGCTGCGTATTATTTAAAAAAGCAGAAGCGTAAAAGATTTTTCGTAATAAGAAAATACATTAAATTTTAACATTATTATATCATCATTCATCATGTATAGGTATACGCATTATACATTGAATTTCAAATCCCAAGGATAAGTAAAGCCGATTATAATATTATTATTGTATACGTGGATGATGGTTTTTTTTCTCCGCCTAGTCTGTCTCAGAGATCAAAAGCACTCGTACTGCAGCACAAGCATTCGATTTTAAATCGTTGTATACTATCACATAATACATAGCAGCCTAAGTTATATTAAAGCGGTGTATAGCAGTTAGTACATTACAAAAAAAAAAAAAAACAGCAAAATGTATTAATTTAGAGTTAAAATATTAGTATGTTAACGTTTCACGCGATACGAAAATAATATATTTTTGACTGTGGTATTGACACAACTCGTTTAAATTTAGTATGGTTTAATATGTCACACGTGATATGACGGTTTTGTATACATAATAATATGCAAATGAAATCGCATATAGGTCTACGTTAAAGCCAGGTTTTCGACTCCATCATCCGTCATTTCGTGTGCCTTTTATCATAAATAAAGCCTTTTAGCGGTCATAATTACGAAATCATTATGTTCACTAATCGTGATCAACCGAAAATTTCCCAAAGTAGCTTTTGGACACGACAGACGACTAGGCTGTGAACCCGTTGAGTAGATATATTTATATCATCGTTTACGGTGATTTTGGATCTCGAAACATACCGTCACTGATAAAATAATTAACTACAGGTAATAATATAATATATACCTACCTATACTATACACGTTGTCGCGCATAACACGGTTTGCTCGATCTAAACCCGCAAGTGGAAAACTATTGAACCGCGTACATAGGCAATGGTTCGAAAACTGCTCAACAAAATGTGAATGTCGCGAAATCGCGATGGGTCTGAGTACAAGCGGCTGTGAGATGTTTTGGTAAAATAATAATATGTCCGCGCAGAAAACGACGGTAAATGCACGTATGCGGCCTCGGAGGAGGAGAGGAGTACGTACGAAAACAAAATAATAATTATACTGTGCGCGTAACTATTAGTCGCGTATACTATAATAATTGTACTACAGAATTTATACACAGGGTGGTCCTATTGTTACACGACACTTGATATTTCTTAACCTTACCTAATACAAACTGACTTACCAAACTATTATATATGTATTAAAATCTAACGTGAAAACCCCATCCGTCCGCGGTTCTAACCACAAGGTTAGTACAGGTTAGAGTCAGGACTTAGAGATGTCGAGTAATGTCTTGCAA